ACGCAAGGGTGACGCATGAGCGGCACCCCCATGTCATTTATTTTTGGTAAAAAATCTCTGCTTCAAAATGATAATGAAATATTTAGTAAAATTTCTATTAAATAATTATTATATTAAAATAATTTTGGTTCCGCGTGAACTTTAAGTTGGACACTACATGACGATCCGTAATATAGTCACGTGTAAAATTTCGAAAACAATGCTTCACTTTCTAGTTTATTATCTATATGCGGAATTAAGATCCAAAATTAATATAAATTATTATATAATGCAGTATAGGCGACGCACGAGTGCCGTAAGGGTAACAAATAAATGAATGTAAAGAATAGTTTCGAGAAGATGGACAATTATTTTTGAAGGCGACCAAATTATTAAATATAATTTTCCCATTTTGAATAATACGTATATAATGCAAATTTTAAGATCACAGTTATAGATAGGGTCTGAAAAATCCCTCTCCGACTTCAAAAATTAGTAGGTCAGTGTAGTCAGTGTGTTGCACAAAGAACGCTCCAATGTCATTTATTTTTGGCAATTGCACCATACATACGCGTATTGTATGTTTAATTGATAACAGATGATGTAACGCGTGATACGGTACAAGATGCATTCTGATTAATCGAGAACACGGTGTGACAAATAAGAATTTTTGCTCCCTTGTCTGAAGCGTGCAACCCATGTGATCCCGAAAAAACATAATATTGAATCGACCCCATAAACGCATGATTTCAATACTGTATTTAGCACGAGTCATTTTGTGCCTTCGTTATTTCGATTCCTGTTTCATTTGGATTAATTGATTTCTTGTTCCGGGCAATGTTGAGGGCAACTTAAACATTTCTTTTTTCTTTGTGGTCCCTCCTATATAATAAATAAAGCACGGTTAATAATTCACATAATTTATATTATTATATACAGTAGAACATACCTCTTCATTGGAGGAATCTGCATTATATGATTGCGGAAGTGGAGGTGACATCGGCAGCGGTGATTGTGGGAGAGATAGTAGTGATCGTGAAGGCGAAGATAAGTGTGGTGAGCGTAATAATGGTGTTTGTGACATCTACAAATGAATATACAGTAAATATACTACACTAATATTTAATATTTTAATTTATACTTACGGACTTATTTTTACGCTTCTTCGAAGGTACTTCACGATTATAACGCATACGTTCTATGTCCCGAAGATTATTCCTTCTTGTCCAGGATGGTATCGAACCTTTCGTTCTTATAACTTTTCGAACTTTGGGCTTCTCAGAACCATCTAAAGTATCCAAAGAGTCATCCACAGGAGAACCATCCACACTAGCAGAAGAATCTAAATTTCCATTTAATGTATTTACATCATCATTGTTACTATGGTCATAGTCATGCTGGTTGTCAGCAGAGATTTTTTACCAAAAATAAATGACATGGGGGTGCCGCTCATGCGTCACCCTTACGGCACTTGTGCGTCAC